GGCCTAGCTCATGTAGCCTCGGAATCAGCGTACCCACGTCATCGCATTAACCCGTCTTTGCACTCACGTACCGGCCAAACATACAAAGGACCAAAGACGCCTCCAATGAAGAAGGCGCGCGCTGCCACCACAGAGCTCCCACGCCGCACAGATCGGGTGTGGCCGGTCGCGCTCGCTCGGTGCACGGAGGAGGACAAGACCGCTCCACCAACCGCGTCGCCACAAAGTGACAAGTCTGCGAGGCTTCGGACATGCCGCCCTCAATAAGAACGCCACGTAGCAAATATATGTACCGCCCCTGTGCCTCCCCTCGACTATAAAAGGGAGTGACCAGGGCCGCTTCTAGGCAAAGGAAACCAGGGCAAGCCACGCACAACACTTTGTAACACGCACACTTCTTCACTGCAAGAGATCAACATCTCAAGCAACACACACTGCAATTCACAGAGACCTGGGGCTAGCTCCCTCTCTTGCCCAGCTTGTAAGCCCCTACTACAAGCACCTCGGTGCAAGGAATACAAGATCGCTCCCTTAGACTGGACGTAGGGAATCTATTGCCTGAACCAGCATAAACATTGTGTCTCTTTGCATCACCATCCGGGATTAGGAACACGCAGTACACTTTCACTAGTCGGTTGAGGACCCCCGGTCCAAAACACCGACAGTATCGAAGTTAGGTTTGCCACAGCCTAGGAAAGCATCCGCCACAATTTTTTGCCGCAGATGTGTGGCGAGCGTTTCCTTCGCCTCGCCACAGACTGCTCCGCCGACACACCTCCTGCGCCCTGCCCTGCCCCTCCCACCATGATGTGCTCGGCTCCAGCTGCGAGGACGCGGAGCGGACGAGCGCGACGGAAGGATGGAGGCAGGCGAAGAGCGTCGCAGAAGGATGGAGGCAGGCCACGGCGCGGTGAAGGAGGTCGGACCGAAGGGGGGGCACAACCGCGATGGCCGATGGGGAAACGCACGAGTTGGACGGGGCGCAACCGCGTGAGGGCTCAAGGATGCCGAGACATGTGAGCGTTGACCATCGGGCCGTCGGGACGCGTGGACGTGGGAGAACGTGGTCATCAGGCCACCCTTGCGCGGGGACGCGGGAGCGCGCGGTTTGTTAGGCCGCCTGGGCACATCGCATGCGGACATGCAGTGGACATGGATGAAGATTGAAGACTTGAAGAGATAAGGTTTTTGCGTGGTGGGGATGCGGTGGATAGGGCAGAGAGAGAATAGAAGGAAAACTTAAATAAGTGAAAAATAAATTAAGAAAAGAAAAATAGAGGGTAATCTAGTTTAGACCATTAATTATCTATATTAGTCTTAATTTTCATGTTCATTCTTGGTTCATTAGAAACATCATACAAATTTGTGGTTTGAACCAATATGTGACAATTTTATCAAATTCTTGTGACAACCATCCAAACAATAGCCACACAATTTTGCCAAAGATTAGTAACAAACCAAACAGACAAATACTTAACCTTAAGCGTGGAAAACGTGACCGGCAACCCAACAGGCGCAAAGTAGAGTAGAGTACAGTACAGGTCCTTTTCTGGATTCTCCATGTCAACATGCATCATCCATGATGCCGTTTTGGCATGTTGCATTATTCCATCGGTTTGGTTTTGTATGACGCCGCGTATCCGCGGCCTTTCTCGTCCTAACAGATTTTTAGCGAGCAGGAGCAGCAGATGCAGTGGAGAAGGACTGCCTAGGCGTGGCCTTAGGGTGGTCACGTCGTCGGTTTTTCACGGCCGTTCGATCGGCCGCGCGGACGACTCAGATCGGGCGAGCTACGGTCGTTTTACGAAAAGCCCCTTTAAGTTTTCGGAAATCAACCCGCGCTCCAGACGTCATCTCATAAATTTTTACAAAAAACGTCTCGTATTATTTTCAAATCAACGCTCAGTCCAGACTGGATGGGCACTGGTTTGTTTGCAAAAAAGACCTCCACTTTATCGAAAATCAACTCGCGCTCCCCAGACACTCTCACCGTTTTTTACGAAAACATTCTCAGATTTTTCTCAAATCAAAATACAGCCTAACTTTAATTATATCTTTTTTTTCTCAAAAAAATATATGTGGCCAGTGGACCGCGCGCATGGGCGCGCCCTAAAAACTACTCTCTCCATCCCAAATTGTAAGTCATTCCAAGAATCTTGGAGAGTCAAAGTTTTTTAAGTTTGACCAAATTTATATAATAAAATAATAATATTTATCATACCAAGTAAGTATCATTAGATTCTTCATTAGTTATATTTTCATATTATACCTATTTAATGTCATCAATCTTTGTATTTCTCTCTATAATTTTAGTCAAACTTAAAAAAGTTTAACTCTCCAAGATTCTTGAAATGACTTATGGAGGGAGTAGTACGATACGAGTCACGCGTGACTCAGGCCCCGGCAAGGGCGCAAGGCGGCAGCGCTGTTGCTATCCGCAGTGCCTCAGCAGTGGGAAGTGTGCCCTTCTAGATTCCCAAGCCGATGCATGGCAGCGTGACACGACCAACTTCGATCGAGCGTACGAGTACTCCGTACAGTATTTTCCCGGTTCGTTTTGTTTGTTTTGTCGATGGGGCCCAGCGGCCCACGCGTGGTGGCACGAGTGCAGTCCCATATTAATTTTTACAGACACTGCATATAGAAACCGGTTCCAATAGATAGTTTTTACATAATAATTTTTTATCCAATCAGTTTTTACATAACAATTTTTTATCCAATCACATATATTCTTTTTTCCATTCTCTACCAATCACATCCTTTCATATCTGGATTCTTGTATAGATATGATTTCTAACTTAGATCCGGTTTTTATGATATTTGCTATTTCTCCTCAATAACTTCCTTACATAATAATATAATTAATGTCTATGCAAACTACGATGTTTTTTTTACAATGGAAGTGCCCTGGTCGCATCCATCTACGCGGTTTCGGCCTTCCGGGCTCGGTTTCGCTTGTCCTTTTGCGACCCCCCGGGAGATTCCACCGGCAGCCAGCGCGGTCCCGCTGGCGCCTGTCGGTTCACACGCTGACGTGCCCGCGCGCCGGCCGATGGCGTCGTGCCACTGCCACTGCCATTCCCCGTGCACGCCGGCTGGCCGACCACGCCGCGTCGCGGGTCGCGCGATCGGATGCCGATGCGACCTGCCGCGCGACCACAAGATCTCAGTGGCGGTCACGACACGAGGACACGAACCCGCGACGTGGCGCACGCAGTTTTTTTTTCAACCCGGGAGCCGCCGCGGGTGGCTCCTGCGTGCCTCGCTCTTGGGGCGCCCAGTGGGGGCCTAGCTAGCGCCGCGGTCGCCGCGCGTTTCCACGGTCTCGGCGTAGCTTCACGCCTGCCCGTCTCCACGGCCTCGCGCTGCTGTTTCCGCCCGCAGCCGAAGCGAAACAGTACGGCTTCTTCCCCTCTAGATGATGGTGATGGACCGGACCATGAGCACTTTCGCGCCACAAACGCGACCGAAGCCCATTGTGGAACGCACGATCAGAGCCCATGGATGCCCACGCGGCCTGTTCCACAGTTTTGCGGGGCTCCCTGGTACCTGCCAAAAGAAGGCAGCCCACTTATACCGCCACCGGACGGGCATGGCCCGAACGAACGAGCCGGCAGATTTGTATTTTCGTCAAAAAGTGCTATTAAATCTAACTATTGCAGTAATCTGATTTCCCTCTATAAATATTAAAATAGGACATCTTCCTCCTTATTAACTATGTAAACCGTTTAGATTAACCCACTGCCCAGATAGAAGTGAGTTTCATAGCAGTTTCATCGTATTTTAGTTGGAAAAAATATGGTAAATACCTATAATAAGGTTTTAAAACAGCAAAAAAAAGTCTCTAACCTTATAAAATTTGAGAAAAATTCTAGAGATAGATTGAAATACAACAAACCCAAATAAAACATTTGAAGCTCGTAAAAGTTTCTCTAAAAGCTTCCAAAAATAGATTTAACACTACAAAATGGAAAAGTATCACAAAAAAATCTAAAGTGTTCTCAAAACATTCTAATAAAGGTCTACTTTTAAAAAAAATCACAAGAAAACACGAGATACAATGCATTCATGTGGTACCATCTCGTGTTTTTGTTGTTAAAAACATTTTTTATACAATGACACAAGATACAATGTTGTTTATACATTTTTTCGAACTACATCTAAATATACCTTTTTCTATATTTTAGACGTAGGTAAGGAGGTAATCTAAATGGTTTTGAGAATCAAAGAAAATGATAATTGGGGCATAGGTAGTGTCGGACCACCGCTAATTTATACTCACTCTGTCCCCTAAATAAATCAATTTCTATAGCTGTCATAGGTCAAACTTTTTAAGTTTGACCAAATGTATAGAAAAGAACACTAATATTTACAACATCATAGTGGCATGTGTGTTTAGATATTACAACTTATATTACCAGACTGAGAAATAAAAAAACTAAGGGCGATACAACTGTACATAGACTTGTGTTGTTTGGCAAGCGGGCACACATTTTAAAGGTAAAAAAAATGCAAACAGATCGATTGATCCAACCAAAATCGATAAAATTAGCAATGGTGTGGAAATTTCAGAAAATAAATAGCCTGATTTAGAGAATCTTCTACAGATCATACCACATCGATATTAGAAAGTCAGTTCAGAGATCTAAATTTACGTATACTCTTGGAATTGCTCCAACCTGAAATGTTAAGTTGGAGAGGAAAAAAAAAAGGGGTCCAGTGGACCGACTCCCCGGGGTTCCGCAGTGCGCCAGCGCCGTTCCCAGCGCACGGCGTAAACCCCTACTACCCCCAAAACTGGCAAAGGCGGAGGCCCAATTCCATCCCCGGCCAAATTGCCCATTAGCGCGCGGAGTCCCAATTCCGCGGCGAGCCTGCGCGCGCGGCGTACGGCGTTGGTGCTTCGTCGCTCTCGAGCCCCCGCGCCGCTCCATCTCCCTCTACCTTCTTCTCGCCTCTGCGCTGCTTGGCGCCGCATGCTCCTGTGCTCCCCGAGGAAGATGAGGTTAGGGCTTTGTGACCGTAAAGCACTACTCCTTCCTCTTTATCGAGGGTTTTTTTCCGGAGCATGTGCTACAGTACAGTCGAAGTGGTGGTTTCGGTGGCCGGTGGGCTTAATTTGGTTCAGTTCTGGAGGTGTGGGGGCTTGGAGCGCTAGGGCGGTTCGTGGTCGCGGATGCGCTAGTCTATTGCGTTTCCTCTTGTTCTGTGATTGCGCGGTGGTTCGGTTGGATCCTGTGGACGGATTTTTGAAAGGAGATGTTCGAGATCATCGCTTCGTTCTAATGTACCGGAGATTTTGGGGGTTAATTTGGTGCCGATTAAAGTCGCTAATTCTGCTAGTAAAGGCAGCTAAAGAAATCTTCTAGTAAAGGCGAATTCTGTCCATTTCTTAGTTAATCTCGGAATTATAAAAGAGGAAAACACTGATTCGTGGAATGCTTGTTCTGTTCTGTTGGTGAACACAAAGGATGATGAGTGTCTTTCACTCTCAGTTGTGTTACTGCTATCCATGATTGCTGTGGTTTACTTGTTCTTTGAGCTTCCTGCAAAGGAGCACCTAGCGTCTGCTGATGCCGAACCTTCCTTCCCAATCTTCACTGATTTGCAACATCTTGTTCTCTGCTGCAGTGAAAATGGAATGGACACAAAGGAATGTGAGAGCTTACTGCTGGATAGGGACCGGCAGCTTCATCCATGTAACCCCGAAGGGATAGTTGCTGACATCGTCTCATGCAAAACACGTGCAGAGATTGGACAACTACTCACCTCGGGTGACAAAATAGCCCCCCTGATTGTTGAGGCGGCGCAACAATTCCCACAGTTACCACCACTACAGCCACCTAACGTGCACCATGGCTTACTAACATTCCCCCATTCACACCCTCGTCCAATTGACAGTTTTCAAGGAATTCAGACTCCATTGCACTGGTCCCATTCATGGCCTCAGTCTCATCCAAGTTGCGTTCGTCATGAATTTCAGGCCCCATTCCTCTTTCCCCATCTGCGGCCTCAGTTTCACTCAAGTGGCACTTTTTATGGATTTCATGCTCCATTCCCCTTGCCCCATCCACAGCCTCGGTTTGGCTTCTGTGGCAAATCTCATGAGTTTCATGTGCCATTACCACTCAATGTTCAAACTGGACCATTGCACTTTGGGCTGCCTCAGTTACATCCAAGCCTCAGTTTTCATGAAATTCATGCTCCGTTCACCCCCATTGGTCCCACTGGCGCTTTTCAAAGCCCATCTCCTGAATTCACTGGCTCTAGGGAACTCATGTTGGAGAAGGAGATAAGAGAACTCCTGTTTTTGCTGCAACCACCAAGTCTCCAGGTTGAGTCTCTTGCAAATATGTACATGGACAGGTATGGAAAGCCTCTGCGAAATGAGGGACTCCTCATAGATGGCCAACAGCAAGGAAAGGCTCGTTGCAGCCTAACAGATGTGCTCATGCGACTTAACACCACCAGAGTGATCGAAAGGTTTCTTCTGATCTTATTCATCTCAGCTAGTTTTACTTTAGATAGATGTTTGTTTCTCAGGTTGCATTCTCATTATGACTCTGTCTGTTTCAACTTCAGACAGGGACATCAGTATATTGTCCCAGTGGAAGATGCTCCTATGTACTTGGCACATGGTTTCAAATTGGGGATGCCTCCTGCTAGCAGCAATTCTAATCAGATTTTGTTGTTTTCATGCCTGGAACGAAGCAAATTCACTGAAGAAGATGTTCACAGCTACTTCAGGTACTGCTGTCTAACTTCAATGCTTGATGCATCTCGAGTCTTGACATGAACCATCCAAATTATGTAGTTATGCATCTGTAAATAACATTATAATGATATTTCTGCCAGTCAATATGGTACTGTCAATGACGTGCGAATTCCACCTCAAGGAAGGCGCAAGTATGGTTTTGTGAGCTTCCAGGACCCTGGAACAGCAAAACAGAACTTATCAGAAAGGATCCCTCATTTCATCTGTGGAGATCCAGTTCTTGTCGAAGAGTACAAGAAAAAACATGAATTAGAGTAAGGATATAATATGGTTGTATTCTGTTGCTTGCTACTACACATTGATATTGCATTACCATATGGTGTAGACCTACTACTACCATTTCCTGTTAAATGATATCTCTTGAATGGTTTAGCATGATAAAGCCTACAATATATATATATATATATATATATATATATATATATATGTTCAAAATTTTTTGTGAGCTATTCCCTCCGATTCCAAATGCAGATCGTTTTAGACTTGTGCACAAGAATAAGGAATTGGATTAATAACCTTAGTGCCATTAATTTATTATGTATTGGGAAAGATGACTCATTCTTTTTAATCTTGAGCTTCGAGGCTGGCCACATCACCACGCTTGTGCACTATGCATTGGCCCACTGGAGACCAGCTACCACCTATGCTTGGCCTGCCCCTTCGCCCAGGCGGTCTGGAGCCTTGTTACCTCTTGGGAGCACTTTGCCACACTTGATGTGGCACAACATGCAAACTTCAACACCCTAGCAGACTGGTGGGAGCACTCCCTCTGCTCGATCCCTAGAGATCGCAAGCGAGCTTTCAATGGCCTAGCTATCTACACAATGTGGAACCTTTGGAAAGAATGAAACTGCAGGATTTTCAAGAATATTCATGCCACGGCCCTCCAATCGCGGGAAGGAACAAAGAATGTGTGGAAATCTACAAAAGGGCACATTGTATGCAAAATCAATAGGGACTGTGTTTAGTTTCTTATTGCTGGGGCTCCCTCGCTGGTTTGGGCATGCTTGTTTGGCTCTCTTCGCCTGTATATAAAACTCTTCCTCTTAATTGATAGGCAGAGTTCCTGCCATTTGTGTTTTAAAAAAATACTCATTTTTTTGTTAGAATGATAATATTTCTTAAGTTGAGTCAAAGATAGGATGAAAGCGTCAAATATGTATAGTAGTTCTAAAACAACCTACGTTTAGAGAATACTCCCTTAGTTTTTCTTACAAAGCGTTTTCTGTGTCATTAGGACAAGGCTTTGATTGACAATTACTTTAATCCACCGATATTTACTTTATGTGATAATAATATAGTTATAAGTAAGTAATTTTGAATAAGAATAGAATATCATCAATTTTGTGTCAACTATTAATAAAGTAGTAATTATTGGTCTAAAGGCTTGTCTTAATGAAATGAAAAAACCTTATAATTACAAATGGAGGGAGTAATTGACAAGGCTAAGACGACCTACACTTGGAATTGGAGGGAGTATGTTTTAAGTGCTCTTATAACTGTCATTATTCAAGACAGTTTCAGAAAGTTAACTCTACAGTTGTTTACTTGTTTCAACTTCAGACAGGAACATCCTCCTAAGTACTTGGCTCATGGTTCCAAACTGGGGGTGCCTCCTGCTAGAAGGGATTCTAACCAGATTTATGTTGTTTCCGTGCGTGAAAGCAAATTCACTGAAGATGATGTTCAGAACTACTTCAGGTACTGCCGGTTAACTTTGGTGCTCAGTGCATTTGACAGAAGCCTCTACTTGTTATACAGCTGTAAATAACATTATCTTGATGTTTCTGCCAGTCAGTATGGTACTATCAGTAATGTGCTAATTCCACCTCAAGGAAAACACATGTATGGTTTTGTGAGCTTCCAGGACCCTGGAACGGCAGAACGGATCTTATCAGAAAGGACCCCTCATTTCATCTGTGGACATCAAGTTTGTGTCAAAACGTACAAGGATAAAGATGAACTAGAGTAAGGACCCCTCATTTCATCTGTGGAGTGCAAGTTTGGTTGTCTGTTGCTTGCTGCTTACATATTGTACTGCCACACAGTGCAAACCTACTACTTCATTCCCATTAAATGGCATCCCGTGCATGGTTTAGCATGTTAGCACCTTGAATCCTTTTTTTTTTATGAAAACACCTTGAATCATTTTTGTTTACTATGTTCACGATTTTTGGTGAGCTATGTCTTAATCTTGTAAATATCGTTCCTCAAGACGATTTTGGAAAGTTAACTCTACATATGTTTTTAACTTCAGACGAGAACAGCATCATGGTTTTGAATTGGTGTTACCTTCTGCAGGAAATGGTTCTAACCAGATTTTTATTACCTTCGATCCTGAAAGCTCATTCACCAAAAATGGTGCTTGGAAATACTTCAGGTATTGCTGTCTAACTTTAGTGTTTGGTGAAGCCTCTACTTTTTGTGGCTTTATGCAACTGTAAACACTACTATCCTATTATTTCTTCCAGCCACTATGGTCCTGTGAATGATGTGCGAAAGAAATGCATGTTCGGTTATGTGAGCTTCAAGTACCCTGAGACGGTAAAACGAATCTTATCAGAAAGATGTTTAAGGACCTCTCACTTCATCCGTGGGAGATCATGTTTTCGTCGAACCTTACAAGGAAAAACATGGACCAGAGTAAGGATCTAATACTTCGCTGTTTTTTTGTTGCTTGCTGCATACACTGTACTACCAACAGTGAACTTAGGAAAGTTACTGTTAATGGTGGTAAAAAGTTGCTTTTAATTCTTTACTTCTGCAGTGGGCATCAGGCTACTGGGTTACCAGTTTACCACCCTTTATTAATTCACTAGCCTTTGTTTCTTTAAATAAGTTATAAACTAAAAGATATTTATTGTTAAGCTTTTTTAGTTTTGTTAGTTAATCCCTTCAAGATAAGTTTATATACTAACTTAAAAACATGAAGTAGTTTGGTATTCACGGACTATTTTTCTGTCACCCTTGTGCAATTCAGCTATTTTCTTTTCTTTTTCTTTATATGTTCTGGAATAAAACATTTGTAATTTCGTTGCTTCACGGCAATGAAATTTGGGTTTGTGTGGAGAAAAAAAGTTTCAATGTGTTGAAAAATACAGGATGTTGGCTCGGGAAGTTGCCGATTTTGTCCTTGAACCACATGAGGTGTCAGATGTTGATGTTATTCATGAGCATCATACAGGTGAGTGCTGACTAAACACTTGCATTCGTCATGTGTCGCTACAGGTGCATTTTATAACCTGAACTGTGGCAATATATTTTCCGTCGAGTTATTTCTCTGTCCATCTCTACAGGAAAACAATTATTGAGTAACCATGATTTTTATGGGGAGAATCTGAATAAAGGTCGTGATCAAGGAATTGTTACTGAAAAGAGCAGTATTAATGTTGCACCAGTCATGGCTTCACCACCAACACGAAACCTGTCTGTTCATTCTGTTAGTGAAGCAAGTCCTTCACAAGGTTGGAGCATTGTCCATGTTTGGCCTGTATTTTGCTGCACCTTTTCCAGTTATTTTTATAGTATAACCTTACTTGCTTCTGTAAACCTTGTAGGTGACAATACTGTTGAATCATCACATGTGTTAAATCATTTGGATGATGCATCAGCAGATCTAGACAGGTGAGATTTCCTGTTTATCTTTTTTTTATGTTAGCTACACACAGCTGCCTTGTATTGACTTGTATAATTCGTTGATCTGATGGGCACTCTAGTCGTTATACAACATAGTAACATTGAAGACATTCCTTTGACTCAAGCTTCAAATTGCAAATGCAGATAGCCATTTAGAGCTTCAAAATAGTTTTCTTTTTCACATTATTCTAGTATTTGAGCACTTCAGGCGTTGCTGTGCTGTTGTATATCTTCTCTTTGTTTTGTCACTCATGGACAGTGCAGTCTATTTTGCAGCCATGGCTTGAGGCTTCCAGAAACCCTCGAGGATGTTTTCTGATGGGAGTAACCGAATCTGCCAGTGCACTAGGAGCAGACTGAAAGCACTAAACACTCTCTGATGGGGCGCTATGTTGTTAGTTGAGTGGTTATGATTTGCTGATACATCTGGACAGATACTCGAAGTAGGTTCTTGTGGGGAAGGTGTACATACATCAAGGCCTAGGTGGCTTAGGTTGTCATGATAAGATCGTTTTGCAATTCTGCTAATGTTGAAGCCCCCTTGTGAATCGACAGTAACCATGCAATCTAGTCCAAGATGGAAATGATATATGCAAAGTCAAGTCTCAGCTATGAGAATGGCATCCTTGCGTAGTTCACCTGTTCGTGTGCTTTTTGACATCCTCTGTTAATTTGTTGGGTCATGCTCAATGAATCTCCAATTGCGGACAGTTCTGCTGCCTTCGTGTATGCCGAAACATGTTGCTAATAGACTACCAGTGCTGTGTCACATCTTCCACCAGTCCGTGATGCTACCAAGGTTGAGGTGTAGTTTTGCACCTGGGCGTAGTCGAGAAGCGAACGGCACCCCACGAACCCGATCGCCCGAGTTCTGATTTCTGAACAAAATTTCCCTGCGGCCTAGTCCACAGTTTTCTCTGCGCGGTGCATTTTTTTTTTGAAGAATTGGCATGAGCTCTGCTATGTCATATAAGGAGAAGAGCAAGCAAACGTTTTACAAGTCTTATTACATTGAAAAGCCAGACAACACTAACACTGAAAACATACAACAGGATGATGGAGATACCATCAGGGAACTACTGGACGTCCGCGAGCCGGTGTCATTAGCCCCAACTCTTCCTTGATTAATCCTAGCACCTGAATGGGAGTCCTCTCCGTTTCCTGGAAGATCCTTCGGTTACGCTCTTTCCAAATGTTCCAAGTCGTGTACATAAGGATTGCCGCTGTTGTTCGCTGCTGATTAGCGGATTGTCCGTGGAGAGCATTCTCCCACCAGTGCTGCATTGTCTGCACGCCTGGAGTAGGCAATGAAATGCAGTCACCCGCCCAACTTTTGACAAGGGACCAAACCTCTAATGCAAATGGACAGAGAACACAGAGGTGGAGTGCCGTCTCTGGCTGCTGGTCGCACAACGAACAGACCGGGTTGCACGGCTAGTTCCTCTGTAGTAGCTTATCGGCCGTCAATATTTTTGCTTGTATCAGCAGCCAAGTGAAGAACCGATGTTTACCTTCTGCGTGTGCCCTCCAAATGGACTTGGTGTTGAAAGGGGGATGAGATCCTTTGAATTGCGCCTAAGTATGCCGATTTTGCACTATAACATCCATCGGGTGTCCATCTCCAAGAAATGGTGTCCTCCCGATCAACCAATTGGACGATACTTACAAGATCCCAAAGCTCAACGAATTCAGCCATTTATTGTACAGATTCCATCCTCCATAATCCTCTTGTCCAATTCATGTGCAGCAAGGCATCATTTACCTTTTGGTTCTTTCTCCATGCAAGTGGGTAAAGGTTGGGTGCAATATGGATTGGCGCACGACCATTTAGCCAAGACGAATGCCAAAGACTTGCCTTGTCGCCCCCATGGGCGATTAGGATCCACCCATTCGTACCAAAGCCATCTCAATCTTAGAGCTCTTCCAAATCTTTCCAAGTTAGAATCCCTAGCCCACCAAGGGCTTTTGGTCTTACTGCCTTAGGCCACATCACTAGACAATGCCCCGCTCACATTCAGTTCGACTTTCCAAAGGAAACCCCTCCTGATCTTGTCAATTTGCTTAATCGCTCATTTCTTGATTGAGAAAACTGTGAGGAAGTGCAATGGTATAGAAGACAGCACTGAATTTACTAAAGTTAACCGGCCATGTTTGTCCAGAAATTTTGCCTTCCAAGATGGGAGACGTGCTGCCACTTTATCATCATAGGCTGCACATCAACTCTCTGCAGCGGTCTAACATTCAGAGGCGGGCCCAAATATTTGCATGGGAATGCTTTGACCTCACAAGGGATGACACCACGAATTTCATCCATAATTGTGTTGTTGCAGGCAATTGGGTATACGGCACATTTTTGTAGATTAGTTACCAACCCAGAGGCTTGCCCAAACGCTTGAAAAATCTGCAGGGCTGTAGTGAACTTTTGCGGAGAAGGGTTCAAAAAAATTGCGGCATCATCGGCATATAGGCTGACTCTTAACTTAACTGATCTGTGCTGGACTGGGTGCAGCAAACCAATTCTAGTTGCTCTTTCAAAAAGCCTCTGTAGGGGGTCAATTGCTAGAACAAAAAGAAGAGGCGACAATGGATCGCCTTGTCTTAAACCCTGTCCATGATCAAACCAGTGGCCTCTAGAACCATTGACGAAGGCAGCCGAGGAACCTTTGCGTAAGAGAGCAGATACCCAAGCACGCCACCGAGGCCCAAAACCAAGTTTCTGAAGAACTTCCTGTAGATAGTCCCATCTAACTGAATCAAAAGCGTCGTCTTCAGGCCGTCGGGCGCTTGGGACGGGCCGTGCTGTGGGCGTTAGGAGAAACGTTTGTTTTCAAATTTTTACTACAAACCTTTTATTATTTTTAGGAAGGTATATGTATAACCTTTTGTAGACAAATTTTCTGCGATAATTTCTTAATCTAAAATTTTCAGCACAACTTACATAAGAATGTTATTATGAGAATTTCATTGAATAAACTTCATTAGGTGTTGGAACTACACCCAACTTTATCTGACTTCTAAAACTAAAAAAAGACCTGTAAAAAAGAGCCACATCAAGAGGTAAGGAACTACCTCGGACTGCTTCACTCTAGGCTTTCTACTATGCTCTAAAAATACTCATGATGGAGAAGATCCACCAAAAATAGGATTCGTTGAACAATTTTGTGGCCGATCCATCAAAATGAACTAATAGCAAAAGTTAGCTTCGCGTCTGATTGCAGAAACGAAAATAAAATCCGTTTCTAGCGGGCCTGGTTGGCATAGGGCATTGTGCATGCATTTGTGCTGTATCCGTGTCTCAATCCAGTGTCTCAATCCAACCAACAATTGAAGACAAATTAGCATCATAATGCAACCTGGCTCAAACGAAAACAACTAACCAAACCCTCTTGTTTGCATGAGAGCATGATGGCCACAGTCAAGTTCTGGTCCAGCCAAGCCCACGCTGGGCCACCTAACCAATCACGCCCTAAGATACTTGTTGCTTTGTGGAGATGTTCCATTTTTTTAACGCAATGGCAGGAGCTCTGCCTTTAAATTAAAAACAGAGATAATGGTTTATGTACAGAGCATATAGATGAAAACATGGCCCTCGTAGCCAAGACAGGAGTCAAATGAAAATAAAAAACAGCTCTCCTGGAGCAATAACGTCTGTGGTAGATTGTGGTGTATGGTGCACTCCCTACCAAGTGTTACACCTAACTTAACAATAATGCCATAGAATTAAGATGCATTTTGCAATGCCAAACGACAAAAGCCTGCATTTTAGTAGTTTTTCTTGTATTGGACCATTATTACACTACACTACATAAAGCAAATTAGATTCATAATCGAATTCTTTTTCCGCGTGTTTGGTTTGCATCTTGATACCATTTGAATTATCTGGTCCTGTATCTGAGCCTAAGTAAGTTGTTTGGTTCTATGTTACACGGATACTTCCCTGAAGCCGCGTATCGCGTATACGTGTCCGATACGCCCAGGATACCTATCCTCCGAGTATCCGCTTTTTTATTATTTTCGGGATAATCGGATATGCCATCGGACACGTATCCTGCCTCCCGATACGGCCCGGCCCAGTAGAAGCCCGGGAAGACATACCTTATCCTCTGCCCCGACGCCCGCAGTCCGCAGTCTCGCACGGCGATGAGCTCACGGCTGCGCCCTCGCGTCGCGCCGCAACCCTGCTCGCCGGCCGCCGGCCACTGGCGACGAGCCTCCGCCTCCGCTTGCCGGCGACGAGCCTCTGTCCCTACTCGCCGGCCGCCAGCGACGAGCCTCCGCCTCTGCTCGCCTCCGTCCCTACTCGCCTCCGCCCTGGCGCCCTGCGACGTGGATCCGTGAGTTAATCCCCTTCCCTCTTCTTCTCCATCTACTTGTTGCTTGATTTCTTTGCTCCCCACGCCGCATCCCCACTTCGTCTTCCCCAGTTCCCCTTCCTCCCTTCGTCTTCTATTTCTGCAGTGCAGTTAGTCTGTTAGTGAGTTCTTGTTGCTTTGCTTGTATGCAGTAGATGGCGTCTCCAAATATGAGCAGTGCTAGTGCTAGTGCAAGTGCTAGTGTAGGATCTGCAGCCACAAACACAACAGACATCAAGGCTCCACTTTGGGGTCATGTAACCATTATGGAGAAGCCTAAAACTGGTGGAGGAAATGCTATGTGGCGCTGCAAGTACCGTCCAATGCAAAAATTGAGTAGTTACACTAGAGTTGAAGCTCATTTGCTGCAGAAGGGAGGAAGGGGAATAGGTAAATGTCCTAACGTTACATATGAAATGCTTAGTGAAATGAGGAAGAAAATTGAAAGGTGCAAGAATCTGGTGGAAAGATCCAAGTCAAGAACTGTTTCTTTGCCTATTGCTCCTTCCTCAAGCAATACTGCTGACAGCAACAAGAGGAACAAGAGGGGGCATGTTTCTGTATTGAAAAAAGCTTGGGCATTGAAAGACCGTAAGCACTTGGATGCTTTAATTAGTAGAGCAATTTATTCAGGAGGGGTATCTTTCAATTTTATGAGAAATCCATATCTTCGAGAAGCCTTTACCTTTGCTTGCAGCCACAACATGCAAGGTTATGTGATTCCTGGTTACAACAGAGTTAGGGAGGGACTTCTGAAGCAAGAAAGGAGGCACATAGAGACTTTGTTGGATAGCACAAAGAGCACATGGGCAGAGAAGGGAGTCATAATCTGCTCTGATGGTTGGTCAGATCCTCAGAGGCGACCAATCATCAATTTTGTTGATGTTTCTGACAAGGCACCTATGTTCTTGAGGGCTGATAATTGTGAAGGTCAGTACAAATCAAAAGAATACATTGCTGAGAAGTTGAGGGGTATAATTGAAGAAGTAGGTTGACATAATGTAGTACAAATCATTACAGACAATGCTGCAAATTGCAAAGGTGCTAGTCTCATAATAGAATCTGAGTATGATAACATATTTTGGACACCATGTGTTGTGCATACCCTCAATCTTGCTATGAAAAGTATATGTGAACTTAAAATAGGAAACAACCCTTCTCATGAAGAAATATTTGCTTGGGGGGAACTTGAATTTATACATGATGTTAAAACTGAGGTTGCTATGATAAATAATTTCATAATGAATCATGGCATGCGGCTTTCAATGTTCAATGAGTTCAGCCGTTTGAAGTTACTTTCTATTGCGGCAACTAGATTTGCCTCTGTTGTATGTATGTTGAAGCGGTTTGTTGAGGTAAAAACAACCCTCCAACGAATGGTGATTAGTGACAAATGGAGTGTGTACAGAGAAGTCAGAGATGATTCTCTAACTCCAATAGCCCAAATTGTCAAGGACTTAATACTTAGTGATGTATGGTGGGACAAAGTGGACTACATTCTTAGGATTACTACTCCTATATATGAAATGATTCGTATGACAGACACTGACACGCCATGTCTTCACTTAGTTTATGAGATGTGGGATTCAATGATAGAGAAAGTGAAGAAAGTCATATATCGATATGAGGGCAAGCAAGAAGATGAGGAGTCAAGTCTGTACGCGGTTATTTATGTCATATTGATTGCTAGGTGGACAAAAGGAAATAATCCACTTCATTGTTTAGCTCGTTCACTTAATCCAAGGTACAAAACTACAAACTGCCATTCAGATTTTTTTTTCATTCACTTGTGTCATTCAGATTTTTTCCATCCACTAAAATCATAATGCCAAATTGCAGATATTATAGCAAAAAGTGGCTTGACGAAGGTGTTGGTCGTGAACCACCCCACAAGGATAAAGAGGTATCGAAAATGAGGATGGTTTGCTTTAAGAAGTTCTTTCCCATGCCAGAAGAATTGGCTAAAGTAAAAGAAGAGTACTCAAGGTTCTCTAGTTGTTCAGAAGAATTTAATGATTCTGACTCAATCCATGATAGATGGGTTGTTTCCCCTATGACTTGGTGGACAAATCATGGACAATCTGCTCCTTTATTGATGAGTTTGGCCATGGAATTGCTTAGCCAACCAGCCTCATCTTCTTGTTGTGAAAGAAACTGGAGCACCTATAGCTTTATCCATAGTGTCAAGAGAAATGCCTTAACTCCAGAGCGTGCTGAAGATTTGGTCTCTGTGCACACAAATCTGAGGCATCTGTCAAGAAGAACTGATGCATACAAGACAGGAGAGACAATGATGTGGGATGTAGGAGGGGATTCTTTTGATTCACTCGGTGGTATTGGCATTCTTGAAGTGGCCGACCTGTCCCTCGATGAACCTGAATTAGAAGCTGTGACTTTTGGTTTGATTACTCCGCAGGTTGATGTTGTGGATGAGAAGGAGACAATTGAGGAATAGGAGTTGGAACTTGCTGTTGCATGAATTGCAAGCCTAAATGCATTTTATTAATTTTCTAGATTTGAGACTACTATATTTGAGAGTTAAGGAGACTTCAGACCTGTGTTATATAATAATAGTACTTAAGTAGTTAATTGCGACGTTTTATTGTTATCAGTTTTAAATTCAGACCTGCATTATTATTATTTTTATTTTATTTTTTAAATAGTAAACGTATCCGCGTATCAGGTTTTTTAGAAAATTGTCGTATCCGCGTATCCATATCCTTCCGATACCGATACACGTATCCGTATCCGTGCAACTTAGGTTTGGTTTACATAATGGATTCAACTCATCTGTCATCTGACTCATCCCACAAGGGAGCTAGACCATCAGACGGAGTCATTCCTCATGAAACTACTAGACAACCTTGTTGTGCATCAAGTGATTTCGCATGGGATCGCTCTCTAAACCAAACATGTTGTTTGTCACCGAAGAACTATATGTCATTTCATTAAAAGCATAAGATTTTAGGTTTACGAAGACGCCACGCAATAACAACAGCTAAACAACTTGGAGGGGTGCAAGCTCATGCTAGCTAAACAAGTTACTAGGTACAAACAATCCCTAAGATTGACAATTAGACTTTTATAACAATGACAAGCTTGTTATAAAAAGAAAAGAAAGTGGAAAAGTAAGGAAATAAAGGAAAAGAAAAATAAAACAACGGTGCCTTTTGCAGAAATGGTAATGGATGCATTTTTGTATCTATCTATAAAAAACAAAAAATGCATCAAGTGTCTTGCCGCACAGAACTGAAGAGTGAAGACTGAAAGGCTCTATTCGCTGATTAGTTTCTGGGTTGATAAGTCCGGCTAGTGCTGGTTTGTTGTGAGAGAAAAACACTGTTGGCTGGTTGATAAGCCATGGCTGAAACCAATAAACGAACAGGCTGCCCATCCCTGTTCTGTTGGTTGGGGAAGGCTGTTCGTTACTGTGTTCTAACTGATAACTGAATGAATAAATAGAAACCATAAAGCTGATGACCGACTTCGCTCACGCCGGTTCCGCAGCGCCGTTCCCTCCGCTCGGCGCCGGCCATACAGGGTCTATTTGGTTCTGCCTATCTTCTAGCATGGCTAGAAAATAAGTCAGGCTAGCTCAAGCCTGTTCCTAGCAAGCCAAGATAAACTTGTTTAGTTGTATGTACCATCTAAACCTGGCTAGTAAATAGTGTGTTTGGTCGGTTGATTTGGCTTGGGTAGAATCACCTCTTCTTTATGAACGTAAGACCCTGTTTAGTTCAAAAAAATTTCACCCTAAAATGTCACATCGAATCTTGCGGCACATGCCTGGAGTACTAAATGTAGATGAAAAAAAAACTAATTGCACAGTTGGGTGAGAAATCACGAGACGAAACTTTCGAACCTAATTAGTCCATAATTAGACACTAATTATCAAATACAAATGAAAGTGCTACAGTAGCCAAACCCAAAAAATTTCGCGAACTAAACGCGCCCTAAGTTTACCACCTTCGAGGCAGGGGAGAATCGAGAGTGCAACATCGCAGCTCACATGCATCTATCACACCTGCTACCCGAACATAACCTCAATGTTGCGGTTGCCTGACAAATTTTAACTTTGGCAGCAACTACATTCAGACAGGATTTCAGAAGCACATTTCATTTCATTAAGATAAGACAGACCACCATTACAGAAGCATCGGTGCAAGATAAACAGACATTGAGTAGACAGGAGGCAGAGAGCATTCAGGCAGCTAACATTCAGAGTAACATCTAACAGCTTTCAGAGTTTTCAGCTAACATTCAGGCATTCAGATCAAGCATACATTCAGAGTAGACAGGAGGCAGTGAGTATTCAGAGCAACTCGCCGCAGCTCGCTGAAGAAGAGGACGCGATGACTGTAGGTGTTCTCGTCGGTGTGCAGCAGAGCTTCAAGCTGAGGGCAACTGGAGACACTCCGTCTGGAGCTGTGCGAGCGAGATTCAGTGGAGCCACGGGCAAGGGCGGGGATGGTCGGCAACCATGGGCGAGGTCGTTGCCGCGGGGTGGTCCAGAGGAGCTCGCCGGCGCATCCAAGCCACGACGCGGTGCAGCGGCGCGGTGGCCGAGCTCCAATGCTCCATCCGCGGTCGCCGTGACGCACTGCCTCGGCGTCTCCGGGTGCTCGTGCTCGCCTGCCTCGGCGCTGTGACGGACTAGAGCGAGGGGAGGAGCACCAGGAGATCTCCGGCGGGCGGCGATTGGAGCATCGGGTGCAGGGGATCTACGTCGGGGATGAGCACCAGGAGATCTCCGGCAGGCGGCGGCGATTGGAGCGTCGGGTGCAGGGGATCTACGTCGGGGAGGAGCACCAGGAGATCTCCGACGAGGAGGAGCAGCGGATCTCGTGCAGCAACGGACGCCGGAGACGGCGCAGCCGCGGAGCAGCAGAGGCGAGCCGGAGACAGCGGTGGGAGGGCCGCCGGGGTCGGGCGCGCTCCAGTGTCGGGCGGTGTCGGGAGGTCGCAGCGGGGAGAGGGGGCGGTGACGAGACGCGCGGGCAAGGCCTGGCCAAGCCAGGCTTTAGAAAAACGGATCTCAATTCCGTTGTCAGAACAGGCAACCAAACATCCACGTCTTCCAACCGGCAAAGACACCACTTCTCCAACCCTCCAACCCCAGGCAAACTGCCATCCGCGCGCGGAGTCCCGCTTCCGCCGCTAGCCTGGGCGCGCGGCGTACGACATTGGTGGTCGCCCGCCCCGCGCCTCCTTGTCTCCCTCCCCCTTCTACTCCCCACTGCGTTGCCTGGTGCCACGTGGTGCTGTGCTTCGCTGCCCCAGGAAGATGAGGTTAGTGTTCCGACTTTGGAAGCTGCAACCTCCGTGCACTACCGTGTCGTTGCTTGATGAGTTCTTGCGTGGGGTTCTTGGAGCATCTGGTGCAATACAACCGCGCAGGGCTTTGGTTGGGTTCTGGAGACGGGTTCTTGGACCTAGGGGGCGTTCTTGGTCGGGGATGAGCAGGTTTATCTCGTCTTTTCTTGCGCTGCTGTGATTATTGGGATGGTCTGGCTGACTAGCTTGATTGGAGGAGTAGGATTTGGTGAGCTTTGGGCCTTTGGTTGGATTCTGGAGAAAGATTCTTGGAAACAGTAGTTCTTGATCATTGGTCCGTTCTGGCATGTTAAGAGATGTTGGTTGTTTTTGGTGGCGCGATTAGAGTTGCTGAATTCTGCTAGTAAATACCAAATCCACTCGGTTCTTATATTTGGAATCGCAAAATGGGGGGAAAATGAATTCACGCAAAATTCCTGTTGTTTAATTGTTTGGTTGAGGCAGAGAATGATGCAATATTTTCGTTTTCGCGTGCACTACTGTTCTCCATTCCTGCTGTGTCTTCTTTCAATTTTTCCAGAAAAGAACCGCCTGCATTTGTTACTGCGAAATCTTGCTCTGCAATGGTTTCATTGTTCCAACATCTTGTTATTGCTGAAGGAGACAAGAAATGGTGATAGATGAATGTAGGAAGTTGTTGCTAAATAAGGCGCTGCAGATTAATGTACCGAACGCCCAAAGGTTCGTTGACTACATCGTCAGCACAAATTGCCCGCAGAGATCAGACAGTATTCATCTGCCTCCATTCAGCAATTGCGCCCCCTGTTCTGTGAGGTGATGAATTACCTTGAAGCCCACCCACCGAGACAAGAAATTGATATGGATGAATATGATGGAATCAGACATTTTACGGTTCAGTTTAATCCGAAATATAGAATAAAACATGACATAAACGATAGCATGAACAGAAACAAAAACATTTGTGTTTGTAGCGACCAACATAAAGCATGTGATGGAAACAACAGAAAATACGCGATGAACAAGAAAGTTCATTAGAATATACCCTGAGGCGGGTCCAGTTCCGGAGGAACCGAATGCGCCGTTACCCGACATTGGTAGTCGAGCCTGTTCGATGTAGCCATTCGAGAGTTGACGTAGTGTAGAGCTGAGGCAGTGCAGATGCGTCACCGGGAAGTAGTCGTAGACGAACAGTGAGCAGTCGCGCAGACGCGCTCCCCAAAAACTTGATCGCCCTTCTACTCCTCGGGTGCAGTCTCTGGTGAAGAGCGCAGCTTCGGAGGCCTGCTCTTCCGACGAAGTCCGTGCACACAGATCGTCGGAACGGAGATGTAAAAAACGCAGCGCAGCAGTGGACAAAAGCTCTGGTGGTAAGTGTTTTCGCACGCGAAAGAATGAGAGATAGCACCTCTCACCTCTCTTATAGGCACCAGATGACCCTTAGATGCCCAGGTTAATGCAGCAATCAAATGGTCAGTTTCTAGTAACTGCTAGCCATTAGCAATTGTCAGTTACTGGTCATTTGTATCGTCAGTTACTAGTCATCAACTGTGATAAAAAAACTGCAAAACCTGACGCCCAGCCCACACATCACATCGCCGCGGCTCAGCCTAGCGAGCGAGTGCGCCGTGTGTGGCATCCTGCTATCCCTTTCTCAACTTCTCAACAGGTGCAGCACAGCTCCACCCTATAAGTTGGTTAGAGACCCTTTCAACTTCCAAGTTGGTTTTATTTATTTGTAACTACCACCACTAATGGGCCTTGTGATTTATTTGATTAATTAAATAATTGGGCTAGCCCAATTATTCTAACAATCCCCACCAAATTCCAAGGCTCATTTGGGAATTTGTTCCACCGCTGTTGGATATACCAGTGTTTCGATGGAGACCTGAATAAGGTTGAACATCCACCTAGAACATAAGCTACATTTGTCCACAACTAAACAATGGACTATGCCTTGTATTGTCAGTTTTGTGCGAACAAGTTTCACTTAAGTCCTTTACCGATACTAGGCTACAAAATGCATCTCCTTTGGTTGAAGCATATAGGTCATACTTCTTGATCTTTCATGAGTCTTTAGAGATTACCCAATCTCATAGACTGTGACTAGCAGTTAAACTCGTATAGGTGTGTTCCTCAAAAGATGTTTCTGGAGGTTAACATCTTTGCCTAAGCCACTCGGATCACATTAAGGTGTTTACCAACCTGCCATGCAGATTTAGAAGAGATTGCATCTTCAACGGAGTGGGTTATTATAGTGGTACTATCCTTCTCAGTTAGTCAAATAGCTTGTTTCACCACTCTAGTTCACGGGATCTCCGATCAAATAGAGTAGGTTACCACTATGACTTAACTCCCATGTGGGTCTCATTCCCATCTCCCTCGATGCCTCGTCTATCACATTTCGTGAAAGACCTTTAGTGAATTGATCTGCTAGATTTTTAGCTGTTTGGACATAGTCTAGTGCTATCACTCCGGAGTTTCTCATCTTTCTGACAGACTTCAGCCGCCTCTTCACATGTCTTGATGACTTCATATTATCCTTGGAACTGTTCACCTTGGCAATCACTGTTTGATTGTTACAGTTCATTAGAATAGCCGGTATAGGTTTCTCAACTACCGGCAAATCCGACAAGAGATCACGAAGCCATTCAGCCTCAACTATGGCGGTATCTAGTGCTGTGAGTTCTGCTTCCATTGTTGACCTCGTTAAGATGGTCTGCTTGCAAGACTTCCAAGAAACAACGCCACCTCCAAGTGTGAACACATATCCACTTGTGGCTTTTATCTCATCAGCATCTGATATCCAGTTTGAGTCACTATACCCTTCCAGTACCCTAGGATACCCAGCATAGTGAATTCCATAATTCGCTGTGCCTATTAAATAGCGCATTACTCTCTCAAGAGCATGCCAGTGATCATCTCCAGGATTTGAGACAAATCTATTGAGTTTGCTCACAGCAAATGAGATGTCAGGCCTCGTAGCGCTAGCTAGATACATCAGCGAGCCAATGATTTGAGAATATCTCAATTGACCCCTTGCGATTCTACGGTTTTTCCGCAATATCACACTGGAATCGTAAGGCGTGGGAGCTAGCTTGCAGTCACTATAACCAAAGCGACTCAAGATCTTCTCCACATAATAGGATTGCAGAAGTGTAACCCCACCATTGCCTTCTCTCAGTAGTTTTATGTTCAAAATCACATCAGCCACTCCCATATCTTTCATCTCAAAGCTTTGAGACAAAAATCTCTTAACCTCCTCAATCACATTGAGATTAGTACCAAAGATCAATATGCCATCAACATACAAACACAAGATCACTCCTTCTACCCCACCAAAACGGTAGTACACGCACTTGTCGGCTTCATTCACAACAAAGCTTGCTAACGTGAGAGTCTTGTCAAATTTCTCATGCCATTGCTTAGGAGCTTGTTTTAGGCCATACAAAGATTTTAACAACTTGCACACCTTTCCTTCATGACCTTCTACTACATAACCATCAGGCTGATCTATATAAATTTCCTCATCCAACTCTCCATTAAGGAAAGCTGTTTTAACATCCATCTGATGGACGAGAAGACCTTGTGAGGCAGCCAAGGATAGTAGTACTCGAATCATGGTCAATCTGGCAACTGGTGAGTAAGTATCAAAGTAATCTTCGCCTTCTTTCTGGGTGTAACCCTTGGCCACAAGCCTCGCCTTGTACTTTTCAATGGTACCATCAGGCCTAAGCTTTCTCTTAAACACCCACTTGCATGCTACAAGTTTGCACCTGTATGGACGATCAACAACCTCCCAAGTCCCATTAGACATTATGGAATCCATCTCACTTCTGATTGCTTCCTTCCAATAGTCAGCATCAGGAGATCCATAAGCCTCAGCAATGGTTTTTGGAGTGTCATCTACAAGGTACACAATGAAGTCATCACCAAACGACTTTGTAGTCCTTCGTCTTTTACTCTTTCAAGTCCCTTCATTGTCATCCTTCTCATGATTGTCTTGAAGTGGTTGTTCAAAGTGTACTACTATATCATTACGTTCTGGAGAATTAACAGATTCATGACTAGAGTTGCTAGATGTTTCTTTCATAGGAAAAATGTTCTCAAAGAATGTGGCATCTCTGGACTCCATGATTGTACCAACATGCATGTCCGGTACTCCAGATTTAATTATCAAGAATCTACATCCGATACTATGAAAAGCATAGCCTCGAAAGACACAATCAACTGTTTTTGGTCCAAGCTTGCGCTTCTTAGCAATTGGTACATTAACCTTTGCCAAGCAACCCCAAGTACGCAAGTATGAGAGTGTTAATCTTTTATTTTCCCACTCCTCGAATGGTGTTTTCTCTTT